GAACACCAAGAGTTCTGGTTCCGACAGGCACAGCCGGAGTCCGCAGAGTCCAGCCCGAGCACCCGAAACCCGCCGGCCGGCAGCCGCCCGAGCCTACACTGGACCCCGCGCCCGCGCGGCTGCTGGACCTGGGCGCCGCGCCACGGAAGGGGGAGCACAGGCAAGGCCCTGAGTGGGGCGGGGGTGTGGGCGGGGCCTGGTTGGGGGCTGCCCGGGCATTGGCTCCGCGGGCCAGGGGCGGGGCCTCAGGGGCCACGGCCCTCACTGTGAGTTCACAGCCGGGATCGCGTCCCCCAGCCGCGCGGTCCAGCTCCCGAGCTTTCGCAGCCCGCGGGTCCGCCGCCTGCGCGCCTCAAGGTGAGTTCGGGCCGGGACTCTGCAGCCAGTCCGCGACTCTCGGGGGCCCCCTGAGAGGCCCATCCCCGTGGCGCCCCGGCCCGGCTTGCGCCCCGGCCCCTGTGTCACCCCCGCGCAGTTCCTTTCCCGGGAGCCTCGGGCTCCACGGTGTTAACCGCCCGCGCCTCGGTCCAGGCGGCCACGCCCGCGCCCCCTCCGCCTGCGAGGCGCAGCGCATCCCGAACCCGAACTCGTGGTCCCGCCCTTCACCCTGAGCCCTCGCCTCCGCCCCACACCCGGGACGCGGGAGCGCCCTCCAGCCGCCCAGCGTCCACGCCCGAGCTGGGGGTCGTATTTTTAGTCGATGGTGAGGTGTCCTCCTATCTTTAGCCGCGGCCTCGAGTGTCCTGAAACGGATCCAGGCTGGGCGCTCGGACAGAGGGCGGGGAGGGGTCGGCGCCGGAACCCGAGCTGGGGCTGAGGAACCGGACCCGCGGGAGCCAGGGGTGGGGCCCTGCTCGTCCGAGCTCTGGCCCTGCGCCGAGCGGACACTCGGACATCGCCCAGGCCGGAAAGCACGGGGGAGGATCCTCCCAGAGCTTGGAGACCCTGGCAAGATCCCCCCCGGCCGTCCCTTTTCCCCCCTACTGTCTGGTTGTGAGACCAGAGCACCCCAAGAGAAGAAGATCAGACGATCCGCATCTGATACGCGAACGTGCCACTCCTTGGGGGGCCCCTGCCTGGACGGAGCCCGAAGCGCGCCCCAGGCTCCGATGCGCGCTGGGACTCCTCCGAGATGCGGGGCGACAGAGCGCGCGCGCGCGCCACCTAGCGGTCATCGAGCCGAGCGCCGCCCCGCACAGGGACCGCGGGAGACTCCCCGCCGCCGCCGGTGAGCGGGACTCTGCGCAGGCTGCCTCCAAGGCAGGCGGGAGAAGGCGGTCTGTTGGAGGATGGAGGCTTTCGTTTTGGGTCTTGTTCGGAGCAGTGTCCCCGGATAACCAAAATGCTTGAGGAAGCCCCTACAGCTCTTTGCTGAGTGAATGACGGGGCTGACAGGGACCCCCTAACCCTGTCTGTCGTACATCTCTCATTTGCACTGTGGCAGTAGGGTCTTCCAGGAGCCCTCTGGTGACGGCTTTGTCAGCCAATTTTATAGATGGGGAAGGTAAGGGCCAGAAAGGAGAAGTGTCTTGCCCAAGTTCACAGAGTGAGTCCCAGATGGAGATGGATTCAAGGTCCGGCTCCTGATTTCAAGGTCAAGGGGTGGCTCTTTGAACACCGTTGGTGGGGAGTGGCCTAGTACTCCTAGCGACAGAAGGGGCTGTGCCTCCCGGAAGTCATTCTCTCTGAAGGAGGCCCAGGGCTCCTGTCCAGGGCAAGCTCCCATCTGCTCCTCCCACTTCTGGGGGAAGCCACCCCTCCGGCCCCCCATAGCCTTGTCCCCATGGAGAGCTCATTCTTATATCTCTGGATCCTTGCAAGTTGGGGGAGAAGGGCATCCAACTGGACTTAAATGGAGGAGGCCTGGGGACCGAGTGGCCGCAGCCTAGCTGGGAGCCTGTTTCTTTCCTGCTCCCCAGTTTTCAGAGGTTGGGTGGCCCACTGCATGAGAGCCACAGGAACCTGGCTGGGTACTGGGGCCCACTTTTCCTCTTCCCAGCCGGGCGACCTCAGCAACATTAAGGTCTCTGAGGTTCAGCTTCTGCCCCTGTAAAAGGCGGTGGTGACGCCCACCGTGCTGTGCCTGGGAGCTTTAAAATGGGAACCGTGCAAGGGCAGCTGGAGCCTGGGGTCTCACGCTTGCCAAATCTGAATGCTTGGGGCTTGATGAGTGCAATTCCCAGCTCTCCTCTGGGTGGCTGACGCTGGCCCGACCCTTCCCCCGAGCCCCAGTTCTCCCCACATCTGGAACTGGGCGGGTACATCTGGCTCAGAGTGAGACAGCTGTCAGGGACGCCCAATTTGTTGTGGAAACACTCAGGCTGTCTTGGCGCCCTGTGTGATGGGGCGGGGGATGACAAATCCCACCAGTCTGCCCCACTCTTCATGAGTGGAAAGGAAGGAAAGCTGCCCCAGGACTGCTCGCCTACCAAGGAGTCAGGTAGGGTGTGTGTTGGCATGCCCCTAGGTCTGGCATGGTGGTGACGGGTAAAGGTCTGTTCCGTGAGTGAGCAATGGGATCCCAGGACCTCGCAGCACCCACTGCCTCCCCCACCCTGCGCACAGCTCCTTCCAAGCTTAGCTGGAATCCCGCCACTGGAGAGTCATTCCTTTGTTTCCTGTTAAACTGCAGGTGCTCAGGGAGGGGCAAGATGTCCGGTCTCTGTGGCTATGTGTGACTGACCTGGGGTGTCCGGTCCTAGGGTGGGGTTTCCTGAGTGAGGGCCTGGGCTGGGAGTTGGGACTCTGCCTCTCCTGCATCCCCCTTCCTTCTTCCTGCTCCCTCCTGCCAGCCCCTCATTCTCTCCTCACCCTGCCCAGGATGGAGAATGGGGGCTAGGACCCGCCAGGGCTCCCAGCTGTGGCTGGCTCCACCCCTCCTGGCCAATTTCCTACCTGCTCAGCCCCTGGTGGCCTGGGGAGGGGGTAGTGGGGGAGGGGTGCTCATCTGGTTACCCTCTGGATGACCTTGGACATATTTCTTTTCTTTGCCTTTTGTGCTCAGATTCTACATCTGGGCTCTCTCGTAGCCACGTATGAGGCTAGTCCCCCACCGTGGGAACACCAAGGAGGGCCTGCAACGCTTCCTTTTTCTGTTAAACCAGTATGACACCCTGCCAGAGTGCACTTATTTTTTTCCACATTAAAAATAGCTTTATTTTTTTCTGATTACATAAATAATATGTGCACCTAAGTAACACATGCTTATTATTAAGATTTTGAGCTTATAAAAGTATGAAGAAAAAAGGCAAAGTCATCTGAATCTGCTACCTTGAGAGAACCATCACCAACATTTTGGCAACCATCCTTTTCACAGTTACATATATCATTTTATAGTAACAGTACCAAATATTATAGGTAATTTTTATCAAGGACACCTTTCCTCCCATGTCACTGACCCCACACCCCTTCCCTGCCCCCCACCCCAGTCTACATAGCTCATATGACAACCCAGTGCTGGCCTTCCAGATTCTTCTCTCTTTTTATGTAAGATATAACCCTATGCGGACCTGTGTCTGTAGGTATGCATACATGCATGCATATATGGGGAAGGGGCAGAGGGGAGGGGAGTTGGTCACTGCTGTCAGAAATGGAATTTTTTTTTTTAAGATTTTATTTATTTTAGAGAGAGAGCGCTCGAGTGGGGCAGAGGGAGAGGGAGAGAATCTCAAACAGACCCACCGCTGAGCGTGGAGCTCAACGCAGAGCTCGATCTCACGACCCTGAGATAGTGACCTGAGCCAAACCAAGAGTCAGACGCTTAACCGACTGAGCCACCCAGGTGCCCCAGAAATGGAATCTTCCAGACTATGCTTTTGCATTTTCTTCTCTCCCTCGGCAATGCCTTGTGCAAATCCCTCCAAAATGTGCTCTGACTGTGATGTTTAAATGAGGACGAGAGGAGGGTGGTTGCAATGATTAAATGAGATGTGTTTGCAAGGGACTCAGCAAAATGCCAGGCACAGAGCAGAGCCCCCCAAGATATTTGTACCCTCCACTCCATCTAACACTCAGGTGCTGGGCGGGGTGGAAGGACAGCAACTACGTCAGACTCGGTCCGGGAGCTAGAAACTGCTAACCCGGAGGAAAAAGGGGGAACTCCGATGTGACCCCACTTCCAGGTGGAGCAAGATTGGGCCGATCAGAAGGTGTCTACATTCGGCCCTGTTGGCTGAACACCTGCCGCATGTCCAGGCCTGGCACAGACAGGTGGGCGAGACAGAGGTTATGAGATCTCTCTCCTTGGTCAACTAGGGGATAGAGACGAGTCTGTGAGACCGCCCCCCCCCCCCCGCCAACAAACTTGACACTTGTTATGTCTTGGGGCACAGTTGATGTGCAGTAGGGGCTGAGTACCCAGACAACGGCGAAGAGCGGAGCCGGAGACCCAGGGCAGGAGACCAGAGCCAGGACTTGGGATATGACTCCGGGCCTGTCACCCAGGTTCCCGGGCCTCAGCTTCCCCACTGGTCAGGAGAGGGGCTCGGCGCTAGTGATCCAGGCTCCAAGGGGCAGTGAGTCTGTAAGCGAACAGGCACTTCTTCCAACGTGGCTTTCCATGGGACAGCGGCCCCACCTGGGCTCCTGGGGCCGACGCAGGGCCCCCAGAAATGACGCGGATGCCTCCGTGTCCTTCTGTCCCTGACTTAGACCTTTGGTGTTGCAGCTCCTCAGTCCCCGGGAGACACTCACAAGGACGAGACTGGAGAGCGTTGCTACCTGCGAGACCTCCACCTTGCGGCTGCTAATTTTCCAGAGCGTTTTCAACTCTTTCGGGAGCAAGTGATTTCCGTTGTCTCAGCCCTCTGACTCCATTGATCATTACCCTTTCTTTTTCTCATCCCTCGGGCCAACTTCGGTCACACCCCACAAGGCAGTCTTCGCCCTTCGGCGAGGTTTTGGTGTCTCTGGCCAGGGCGGTGAGAGGAGGTAGCAGCAGGCCGCGGTCCCCACGGCTGCACCGTCCCCAGCGCCGGCAGCCAGGCCTGGGTGCTGAGGTCACGATGTCCACCAAGGTGCCCATCTACCTGAAGCGCGGCAGCCGCAAGGGCAAGAAGGAGAAGCTACGGGACCTGCTGTCGTCGGACATGATCAGCCCGCCGCTGGGGGACTTCCGACACACCATCCATATCGGCAGCGGCGGGGGCAGCGACATGTTCGGTGACATCTCCTTCCTGCAGGGCAAGTTTCACCTCCTGCCAGGGACGGCGGTCGAGGGACCTGAGGAGGATGGCGCCTTCGACCTCCCCTTCCAGTTCACCCGCACTGCCACGCTGTGCGGGCGGGAGCTCCCCGAAGGGCCGTCCCCTCTGCTCAAGAATGCCATCTCCCTCCCTGTCATCGGTGGGCCCCAGGCCCTCACCCTGCCCACGGCCCAGGCCCCACCCAAACCCCCTCGCCTGCACCTGGAGACCCCACAGCCTTCCCCACAGCCTTCCCCGCAAGAGGCAGGGAGTGTGGACATCTGGAGAATTCCAGAGGCTGGCTCTGCCCACAACGGGCTGACCCCCGAGTCAGGGGCTGAGGAGCCCTTCCTGTCCCATGCCAGCTCCCTGCTCTCCCTGCACGTGGACCTGGGGCCTTCCATCCTGGATGACGTCCTCCAGATCATGGACCAGGACCTGGGCCACATGCAGATCCCCACGTAGGACCAAGGCTGGCCAGGCGGGGTGCTCAGGATCGAGCGAATGCTGGGAGGCAGAGGAGCGATGCAGCCCTGGTCTAGAAGTCGGGATTCCCCAAGGCCCCACTGTGTGGTTGCTGGCCAGTGACTTCTTTCTTTGAGCCTTTGTTTCCCTCCTTCCGAGCACCTCCCTAGGGGCAGAGTGTGCCTCATTGCTTTCCCCTAAAACGCACTAAGGACACCTGCAGAAGTCAGCCCAAAGTGCCCTGCGCATCTTGGGCCGCCTGGACCCCCACCACCAACCGCTCCCCCTTCCCTCACATCCCTTGGATGAAGGCTTTGCCAAGATGGGCTCCTCTCTCCATCTGCCTTCTGCCTCATCCTTGTGGGATGCCCTGAGTGGGGGGTGGGGGGGTGGAGGCACAGCACAGCCAGCCAGACCTTTGGCTCTGTGTCCTGGACTGAGAACCTGGCATCGATGACCGAATGTCCCTCAGCCCATCCCCCTCACATGACCAGGAGATTCTGGTCGCAATAAAACTTGCTGCTGCTGGTGGTTGTGCTCCCTGCGCCCTTGACCTAGGTCCTCTCCGGAAGACAGACCGGTCTCTGCCAACTGGGCTGACCTGGGGGCGGGGGGGACCCCACTCCCAGAAGGTTTCGTGCCTTTGAAAGCTTCTATCTGGGAGTAGGAACCAACCAAATGCCAACTGGAGATATTGCAAGATTGCTTCTGGTGTTTACAAGAGGTGGCTGAGCACTGGGGTAAGCCAGGCGCCATGCCCAGGCTGCGGGGGTCTACTGGGGGGGACCCAAGAATGAAAGAAGAACCCCTAGTGCAAGGGACCGGCGGCTTCTCCAGCTTCAGAGGACTAGGGAGCATGCGCAGGAGGGAGGGATCCGACGGTGCTCGTCAGCGCTATTTAATGAGCATCTACAGGGCACTCCAGCGCGTTCCAGGTGCTGGGGATATCAGACAGACGCAAGCCCTGCTCTCCTGTAGCTTAGATTCTAGTGGGAAAAGGATATTGAATTTGTAAGCAAGTAAGAGGATTTCCTACCATGTTGAACAACTATGATGAAAACAAGATCGAAAATGCCTGGGGCAGAGGTGCCGCTGGTGTCAGGGCCCATTAAGATGGTCAGTTGTGATTCTGAGCCAAACCTGAAGGCTAAGATATGCTGGTGCATAAGCAAAGGCACTGAGGCACCAGAGTGAATGACAGAGGAGCCACCAAGTGGTGAGAAGAGCATAGATCTCTGGGTCTGACATAGTCTGTGTGAGACTCAGTTTCTCCATCTCTAAAATGGGTTGACTACCTAACTTGCAGGGTTGTGGGAAAAATTAGGGACAAGGTTTATGAACTGCCACATGGAAGGTACTCAAAAGTGGCTATGGACACAAAGGAACTCAGCTCGGGAGAGGCAGGACTGTGAAAACAGGTTGGAGTCAGCTGGGAACCGCTTTGCTTACAAGGCTGAGCAGAGGCAACGGGGAGCTGCCGAAGGATTTTAAGCAGGAGAGACACGTGGTCAGATCCAGGTTTTAGGAGGGTCACCACCCGGGCCAAGGGACGATGGACCGAGGTCAGAGAGGAAGAAGCCATTGCAGGATGAGGAGGCCTGGGCGGGGCAGGAACAGTGGGCACAGAGGAGGGGAGAGTGCTAAGGTGGGGCTTGTGTCTGGTACAGCCCACGCGGGAGGCTGGGGACAAGTTCAAGCCTCGGTTGTCCCCTTCTTCCATTCTCCGCTGGTTCTTCTCCATCATTCTGACCCTGCGGATCCCAGACTCCCACCCCGCCCCCCCAGCCTCTCCTGCCTCCGTTCCCTGTGTCAGATTCCAGAGTGGGGACTGAATTTGACCCCGAGGCATTTTGCTTGGCCACAGGGCTACGTGTGTGTGTTAAAATATATACAATATGAAATTGACCATTTTAACCATGTGTAAGTGTATGATTTAGTGGCATTAAATACATTCATGTTATTCTGCAACCATCACCACCATCCATTCCAGAACTTTCTTCATCTTCCCAAAGTGAAACTCCATACCCATGAAACACTAACTCCCCGCTCTCCCTTCCCCCAGCCCCTGGCAACCACCATCTACTTCCTGTCTCTACGAACATGACTACTCTGGGGACCCGATGTAAGTGGAGTCACACAGTATTTGTCCTTTGGTGATCGGCTTAATTTTGTTTAGCCTGACATCTTCGAGGTTCATCCATGTGTTGAAATTTCCTTCTTTTAAAGGCTGAATAATATGTTATTGTCTGTCTATCCCACATTTTGTGTATCCATACATCCATCAGTGGACACCTGGTTGCCTCTACCTCTGGGCTATTGTGAATAATGCTGCTGTGAACATGGGTGCACAAACACCTGAATCCTTGCTTTCCATTCTTCTGGGTATATATGCACAAGTGGAATTGCTGGATCATACTATGTCATTCTATATTTAATTTCTTGAGGAACCACCATCTTATTTTCCACAGAAGCTGCATCATGTTACATCCCCACTAAACTTTGTCTTTTTAGTCGGGAAATTTTGCCATCATTAGAGATTAGGGGTTTCACTACCAGTAGTGGGATTTTACCCAGGTCTGTGAGACCCTGAAGCCTATACTCGACTGCAACCCTCTCCCCCAACACGGGTTCCACCCCAGACCCTGGTAAAGTGTGAAGGCAAAGGGCGAGGAGCGGAAGAGCCCAGCTCCTTGCCTGCAAGCTCCCTCTCTGTGCTTGAAAGGCTTGTACCTTATGCCTTGGAAAGGGAAGACAAGAAAAAAAGCAGACCTTCCTTAGAACTTTGCCCAGCTGGAAGGCCGCACCTCACCCTGGACCTGAGCTGAGGTCACAGAAGCCATGCCTGTCTTGGGTCCGTTGGAACTGCTCCCCACCCACCCTGCATGAGGCACCTGCCCAAGGGCCCTGGAAAACCACTCGGGGCTACTGTGACAGGCTGGATAAAGGGAACTAGGCAGGGCACCTGAAGCGTCAGATTCACTAAACTGGGAATACTTGCTTGCACCAAAGTAGCCATGGGTGAAGAGAAGGATCTTTCCTCTTCAGCTTGTATAATGCTGCTCAGGCACCGTGCCCTCCAAACACCACCCACAAAAAGGAATTCCCCAAAATAGAAGAAGTTGTTGGGCAGCCAAAGAAATGACCAGTGTCCCCAACCATCCGCTGTTTGAGATGCCCAACATCCGTGCATTACTTCCTATAAACGTAAGATAATATAAGCCTCCCTAGTATAATGCATCTACTCCTCTTTCTGTCAAAAATATATTCACTCTTCTTCCAAAGGGAGACAACTCAAAATCTTGTTCATGATCACACCCACTTGCAAGGCCAGGATTCTCGGATGTTCATTCCTCCCTCCTGCAGTTTTTTTTTACCAACCCATCTCAATGTTTTGCAAACTATGAACTATGCTGTAAAGTTAATTACCACCAATACACCCTATATGCAAGAGTTGGAAGAAGGAGAGAAGAATGGGAGAATTAAAATATGTAAGAATATACTTGACACAGCAAGAAGAGAAATATATGTAAAAGCGACAGACTTTTTCTACAAAATGTAGCTGGTATGAATAACTTCCACTCCTTCACTATCCAGTTCGTATTCCCCTTGCCTTCAAAGATTTTCTTTTACTTTTTTTTTTAAGGGTTTTATTTTTTTAATGTAATCTCTACCCCCAGCGTGGGAATTGAACCCATGACCCCAAGATAAAAAGTCGCACACTGTACTGACTGGGCCAGCCAGGGGCCCCTTCCCTTTGCCTTCAGCCTGCATCTTGGTGGTTCAGGGTTCTTTACCAGGTCCACATCATCCCAGACCTCCATTTTTAAAGAATCTGAGTCTTTAGTGGATCTCCCTGTATAGAATTGACTTTTACCCCAAAGGTTTTATTTTGAAACGTTTTAATCCTACCGAAATACTGAAAGACAAGTACAATGTACATCTATATACCTTCATCCAGATTTGCCCATTTTTACCATTTTGCCTCATTTGCTTTATCTCTTTGCCCATAAAAATTATTATCCTGACCTCTTGAAAATAAGTTGCAGACATTGTAACACTTCATCCCAAATACTCCAGCAAGAAGTCTTTATTTAGCTCAATTCAGTCTTATTTGGCTTCTTCAATCTATGGATTCACAACTTTCAGGGGCGCCTGGGTGGCTCAGTCGGTTAAGCATCTGACTTTTGGTCTCAGCTCGGGTCTTGATCTCAAGGGTCGTGAGTTCAAGCTCTGCGTTGGGCTCCACACTGGGCATGGAGCTGATTTCATAAAAACATCTTTTTTTAAATGTATGTTAGATCTCTCTATATAACTATGTTTCTGCTCTACTTCTGTATTTTCTGTTCTTTTGTCTTTTTATGCAGTATTAAGGACAATTTCTGCCTATCCAGCTTCTAGTTTCTATGTTCTCTCTTCAGCTATGGGTAATCTGCTTAAAGGATTCATTGTGTTCTTAATTTTGATTATCGTATTGTTCAGTTTGAGAAGTTCTATGTTGTTCTTTTAAAATTCTGTTGTGGCATTTCTTAGTAAGTACTTGCCCCCTGCAGGGATTTTTTTTTTCATTTCCTCTGTTTTTTAGTTTGTTCAGTTGGTAAGATTGGAATTAAATACCTAACTAGGAGCTTGTCTCCCATTAACTACCCGAAATTAATATTAGGGAGATCCCCTGGGTCTCATTTCTATTTCTCCCTGCCCCTACTGGGTACTAACAATCCTATTTTACAACGATAACCTTGACAATTACAATCACCCCAGGGTACCTGGGTGACTTAGTCAGTTAAGCGTCTGCCTTCAGCTCAGGTTATGATCTCAGGGACCTGGGATCTAGTCCCACATCAGGCTCCTTGCTCAGGGGGAGTCAGCTTCTCCCTCTGCCCCTCCCCTGGCTTGTGCTCGCTCTCAAATAAATAAATAAAATCTTAAGAAAAAAAAAATCAATCACCCCAGCCAGTAGTAAGTAGTACTCCCTTTTTACTTTTTCGCCAAGTGGCAAGTGGAACAAAAAAATGGCCCATTGGTAATCTTAGCTCCGAATTTAGAGAAATCGTTATTGTGCCCCCTGGTGGAAGCATTCCTCCCTTGGATCAGGCTGACCCCAGAGGCCCAGGAATAGGAAACATTTTGCAAGAGTCATTCGTTGAGATTGCGAAAGGCTGCACCCCTCTTCCACTCCTTGGTTCCTTCCGGTAAGAGAAACACTATATACTGGTCACTGGTTCCGAGTATCCGTTGTTCAGTGATGCGGCATTTCTTAAAAGAATCCTAAAAGAACTGAAAGGCTTTGATTCTGGGCCCATAAACTACCTTTCCAATTATAGAACTAGCCTGTGTATTATTTCGAATAGTTTTTATTTTAAATTTCTTATTGAAATATATATATGCAGCGA